ATGAATCTCCTATTAAAGCAAAACAAACTAACCAATGATGACATAGCACAGATTGAAAAAAATTTTTATAAAGCTCAACATATTATGTCATATGACACTTAATGTGTAGGCACGCATGTTCTTTTCTATTTCATTTTCTAACTTTCTACAGAGTCAGACTGAATATTTTTTTTATGTTTTCCTACTTAACTGCTTGCTTGTTTGTGATTTAAATATCACTCTTTAACACATTCATTAGGATTCGTTTGCATTGAGACTTAAAGATGTGAGCACAAAAGATTGCTAGGAAATAATTGAATGCTGACAGTAACGCAAACGCAAAGCACTGCTGACTGCAGTGAAGTCGGATCCGACTCATAGCGACCCCTCTCTGGGTTTCCAAGGCGGTATCACTAAGGAAGTTGATTGCCCAATCTTTCTTCCTAGGAGTGGCTGGTGGGTTTGTACCACCAGGCTTCTGGTTAGCAGTGCCTTAGGCACTATGCCACCAGAGCTCCTGATAAACTTAACTATATCAAATTTAATAATATCAAAACTCTAAAAAAAAAAAAAAAAAACTCACTGCTCACTGCCATCGAGTTGTTTTGACTCATAGAGACTTCTTCTTGGATTTCTGAGGCGGTTTCCATATGGAAGTAGATTGCAAAACTCTAGTAGTATCTTAATGTCATCGGTAGAAAACAGACTAAAATGACATACATCCATAAATACATTATTTTTTTCTATTATTTCCTTGTCGTTAACACTAAAGAGGTGGAGACATTAAAAAAATAAATAAATAAGGAGTCTGCATTTGTCTGTCTAGATCTGTTCCTTTTTACCACTCTGTACCTGAGTTGTTGATTTGTTTTTTTTTTTCCTCTTCCATATTGAACTCTTCACTTCCTTCTATCAAAGCTAATTGACTAATTGCAAAGACATTGCAAGTCTTCAGTGGTTCAAAATATGTCTTTTTAAGTAAAATTTTATAAAATGTGTGTTATTACAGCTCTAGAAATTTCTGCCCTATTTCATAATGTGCAAATCTCTGTCTCTGTAAATAATAGACTGTTAGGAGGTGTTACAGCTTTTTAAAATAAGCTATGTGGTAGTTGCTTCTTACTATCATTATACAGCTTTACTGCAGTGATTTTATCAGAACCCTGGTCATTGTTAGAGAAAGAGTTTCATGGCTGAGTGCGGTCTGAAAAACTCACCCTGTCTACTCAGAATCTGTGTTCTATGATCTGTTCTTATGTCTCATTACCACTCATCCTGCTCCTTTTCCCTGAACCAAAACTTTGATAGAACAACACTACCACAGTATCAACACCTTTTTACTTGTTTGGTTTTGTTTGTTGTTTTATTTAATGTTTGTTTCATATCCAGTTGTTTGTGAGTTGTCTTCTTTATTGGTAAATTTTACTGATACAAAAACATTTTTCCATCTTTTCAAACATATACAAGCTTTGATTGTGATAGACAGGTAATAGTAATATCAAAAAACATAACTTTGTTATATGCCAGTTTTTCACCACTATGAATATGCAGACAATTAGAAAGAACGAATAGGAGTCTGTTTTTATCTATGTAAGTTTAGGTGCTACTGCTTTAATCACTTTATTTTGGAAATTTTGAAATTTTTGCATTTTCTAACAGCAGTGATATTATATTGCAAAACTTCTTCTTTTTTTTGTCAATCATAGCAGCCATAGGTAGATGGTTGGTTCTGTAGAACAAAGTTGCCATCAAATGTATTTTTCACGTTTGTTTCTAAAGAACCATTTTAGTTCTGTTTTCTAGAAAACATTAGCTATAAATTTTGATGTCTCTTTAATCAGGTCAATTATGTTTGTGCTGACTGGTAATTTGATATCTGGAAAAGATGCCTGGTATTATGAGAACATTTCTTGGAAGAAGCTCAAATTCTGGACTCATAAATAGGTCCTGGCACCTTAGAGGCTGATAGCAACCCCTACTTGGGTTTCTGAAGCAGTATCACTATGGAAGAAGATTGCACAATCTTCCTTCTGAGGAGTGGCTGGTGGGTTTGAACCGCCGGCCTTCTGGTTAGCAGTCAAATGCCTTAGGCACTATGCCACCAGAGCTCTTTATTATGAGAATGTTTCTTGGAAGATGTTCAAATTTTGAGCTAAACTCTGGACTCACAAGTAGGTCCTGGCACCTCAGAGGCACTTGATCTGAACCCTGATTATTAATAAAAGGCAGTAAAGGCTTGGACTCTGCCAGGCATCTGAAACATAGCAGACCATGTGTTTCTGGAAGATTTATCTTATATCAGTCAGCTGGCCAAGAATTCCTTTTCTATTTGTACATTCTAGAATTCTTTTTCAGTGAAGGTGCTGATAATAAATGAAAATTGTGTCTTTTTGTTTGAACTCTATATAATTTTGGAAGAACATTTGCAATCTACCTCAAAGTTCTTGGCATCTAGTACAATCAAAGCAAAATTAGAGCACTAAGAAATGTATATAGTACAACATACAAAAGATATTCTCAGAGTTTAGGGATGAAATTAAACTCCATTAGAGCTTGGCTGTTCATCTGTGATTTTCTTAGATTATATATCTACTAAGTATGGTCAACAGCTTTTGGACTGACAGTTCCCATAAATCACTGTGTTGAAGGTACCAAACATGTTCCTGCCTGGATTTTTTTTCATTCATAAACTTTAATTCCCTAGATGGTTCTTGTGGCCTTTGAAAACCATTTTGTGTACTTTTATAATACACTTAATTTTTGGTCTCAGCAGCATCCCCCAAACCCTCTGAAGTACAATGAGTCGTTAATTTTGTTGTTGAAGTCATTGGAGCCAAGTGTTAAAACCCAAAAGCAATAATATTAAACTGTAAAAAATATATAATATTAACATAACTGTCTTAAAATAGTTCAAGAGAGAGAATCCAACATAAAATTGTGCAGAACTGATTACTGAAAATTACTAAGATATTAAAATGTGACAAATGTGGATTTAGAAATATATTCTTTCTTTACAATTTTGTTGCAAATTTATTTCTATCTCTGGGATGAGATTCAGTGTTTGATAGCATCCCCATAATGTAAGGACTCTGAGATTCCAGATTAATTTTTTGCATTATTCAAGTACATTCATGAGGGAACAATTTTAGGATGTTTACTCTGCCAGGTCTTGTGCAGGCTGCTGGGGTGGGAGACACTGTGCCTGCTCTGGAGAGTGTTATGGTCTAGTTGTGAAAAGAGACAGGAACAATATTGTGATGGGAAAAATTGAAAAGCTGAAGGAGAAATAAACCCTAAATAGCTATGAAGTTAAGAGACACCGAGATCCTGTAAGAGTAACGATATAATTTGGGAATAGATAAGGATGTTCAACCCAGCATGTTTGGGTTGAACAACATGATGGACATAATTAATGTCACTGAACAGTACATGTGAAAATTATTGAAACATCCAATATTTTATTAACATAGATTTACCACAATAAAAAAGAAAGAAAGACTTTAACTAGATGTGATAAATACAAATTGTTACTGGGTTTGTGCCTGGGGGAGGAAAAGGGCCTGACCGGGTAACAGGAAGAAGTTTAAGAGTTTATGCTTTGGAGAATTTAAGTTCATTAACTGAGACAGAGGTTAGGATCAAAGTATGATGCAACCAGTTTGTGACATAATGAAATTGATAGGTTGGAGGTAGGGGAAGTATATACATACTCATATGTATGTAGTGGGGACATAAGAGCAAATAAAATCCTCTTTCTTCCTGTCTTTCTGGCAAAGATTCATTCTTCTTACCTTTACATATTCTTCATTGTTGTGTGGTTTTTAGTGTGTAAGTAATATTTTCAATTTAGCATCTAATAAAAAGATTTTTTTGCCAGATAAATATTTAATGCAGATCTTCATAAACCTGGGTATTGAGTTCCTAGTGTTTCATTTTTATTTCCAGTATCAAAAAATAAAGAGTGACAATAAATTTGTTTCTCTCACATAGTAGAAATCCATGCTTTTCTGCACTAACCAAGATGAAACATCCATTCTTACCAGGACTTCTCCCTTGCTGGAATCATTTACTGGTATTCTCTCACAATTTTATTTAACATTTCTCTAACATTGTTAGTACTTTATATCTCTAGAGAATACTATGGGTATCCTTAAGCTGCTTTTCACTTAATCGATTGGTTACCTGACTTATAATAATTCTTTCTAACAGACCTATCTCTCTGATTTTTTTAAGGCCAGATTGACTTTCAGTTTCAACTGCTTCAGTAAACCTTTATCAGAAACAAACTGCATTTCCGTCTTCCACTTAGACAGTGGTTTTCAATTTAATGTCTAGTGATTTAAAATCACTAGAATGGCTTGTTACAATGCAAAGTACTGGACCCCCATCCTCAAAGTTTTATATAGAAGTTCTGGTATGGGCCCTAGAATTTGTATTTCTAACAGGCTCCCTGGTGATACTGAGCTTCTGGTCACAAGACCACCCTTTGAGAACCACTCTGGTAGCATAGTGCCTAAGGCACTTGACTGCTAACCAGAAGGCTGGCGGTTCAAACCCACCAGCCAATCCTTGGAAGGAAGATGGGGCAATCTACTTCCGAAGTGATATTGCCTTGGAAACCCAAGGAGGGGTCACTAAGAGTCAGGTCCAACTCGATGGCACATATCAACAAAACAACAACTTTAGAAGTGGGAATGTCTCACAGAAAATAAAATAAATCATATTGCCTCCTCTAACATTTTCTTCACTGACAATCCAGTCCATGGTTCCACGAT